CCCTTAAAACATTTAAAACCTCACATTTAGCAAAGGATAAAAAGAATAGTGATATAGAGGTTATTTGGAAGAACTTTATGTTGATGTTTTGGTAATACAGTGTTTCAACCAAGTAAAATTTTTTTAAAATTTTCTCTTGGCAAAAGAAGTCTGAGGTCATTTTATATCTGGGCCTTAATGAAGGTGGGCCTCCTAACAAAATGTTTAGCATTTAAAAGGTGAGAAGTTTTGTCACTGACAGTCAGAAACTGAGTCAGGACAGCTCAGAGGTAACAAAGCCTAAGATTGGCTGGCTTATCTGTACCAAGGCACGTGTCTTTTTGGTGATGGTGGTGGTGGGCAACGGGAGACACTTCCATTTAGTTCTCTGCTAGTAGGACATACCTAGGCCACAATTAATGAAAAAAATATTTGGGGAGGCAGTTCTTTTCCTTTCCCACCCTCACCCCAATTATGTCATCTTGGCTGCAAGGGAACTTTTCAGGGGGTGGTTGTTTCTCAGACTGTGGCGCCCTAGGTATGTGGTGAGAGGCCTGCTTTATAAGAGGGCTGATGGGAAATGAAGCAGAGAGACCTACTAGGCTCCTGTCCAGAGGGGCTGTGGCTGAGAAGGTAAATGTGCTGCCTGAAGCTGCTTTAGGACTTCCCTGTCCATCAGGGAAAGATGTGAGTCTCTGGGCATCTTGCTAAGATTCTCCTTCACCCTCTTCCCCTATCCCCAGCAGAGGATGGCAGGGGTCATTAGTCAGTAGGAGTGCCTACAGAAGGCAGTGTTTACCTATGTGGTGGTAACTACTACATACCACCTGGTTCAACTCTAAGATTTAAGAATGTGGAGCTTCCACATATAAATTTTATCTGGACTGGAAGTGCCCCCCATCCAGGCTCAGAATGTTACAATGAAAGTGCAGCCTTTGGAAGTCATTCAGAAAACCCATTATTCACAGGGAAAATGAGGGGCATATAGACAAAAAGCGTCCCTAGGTGGATGGGGTGGGCCTTAGTTTCACTACCTTGGGGTGCAAAAGTTGGTGTCTTCAGTGAAGACTTCCCAATAACCTGGCAGAAATGCTCGATTTCCCTAGCTTTCTTTCCTACTAATCCTTGCTTCCAGATACTTTCTTTTGTCCCCTGAAGAGTCAACAGGATGTGTGATATTTCAAGAATATAATAAGCAATGAGTATAACGAACCTGGCACAGCTTGGAGTCTAGGATTATGGAAACACAGTGATATAGTGAAGACTACACACCAAAACACATCTAGTCTTTTAGCTGAAATCTCCAACATGTTGGGACTGTTGCCATGGAATTTCACAAAATCTTTTTTCCTGAGACAGACGCCATGCTACAAAGAGGGGATAAGCCATTTGTGCAGTCAGAGGTGGAGCATTTTAATTACATAAACGAGTCTGAGCCTACTGCTCACACCCTTTAGAAATATCAAGGCAGATACAGAACACACACATTTACCAGGAACTTGGGATTCTTGGCTCTGGTAGGAATGTTCATGAAGCTGACTCTTCATTTGTAAATAGGCTCGGTGAAATTGTCCCTGGAAGCAGAATTTATTTTCCCTAACACAAGCTCTTACAAAGGAAAAAATAAAAAAGGCTTTGGCAAGCAGCTGCAGGTGCCAGTTTGTGTGTACACTTTGGGGAAGATCAAAATACCTTCCTGTTTTTTGTTCCTCTCCACCATCCTCTTCACATTCACAACTTGGTGGTTAAAGGAAAAACTTAACAACACTACCATTTTCACATCAAAGATATGTGAAACAGATATTCATATGCAGATTCTCTGCTTAATACTTAATGCTGCATAAATGCTTCCTTTTACAAACATTCATGGGTATTTAATACCCATACATTAAAAGCTTTGAAAAATAAGTGGTTAGGGCATAATCACATAAATTTAAAGTTGGAAGAGACCTTAGAGAATGTCTAAATCCAACTCTTATTCAAAAGTTGAGGCAACTTACGTCTTAAGAGTTTAAGTGATTTGCCCAAAGTCCTACAGCTAATT